ACTTACACATAGATCTATTTTTTTTCAACGTGATGTGTACTTAAGTACCCTTCATCTAATAAAGAATTTCTTCTCTTTTCGAGCAGATATGTCACGTGACAAAAATAGATAACAGAAAATGTTACTGAAGACTATCTGATTCAACTGGAATAATAACTCCAAACAGCTTTTGAATGTCCTGAGACATATGCAAGGTAATTATATCTCTGCCTTGGATACGCTTCCTGACACCATCATGATCAGGATACTGACATGTTACCTTTGCACTTCTCCAAAACTTCCCCAGAGTGTGGCGATGCCTATAGCAAATACACATTTTTTTTTTGTTTATCCTCCTGAGCGAGGTGAAATAGGCCAATCTTTGCCAAGATTAGCTCATTTTCACTTAAAAACCTCTTTAGACAGGTGGCAGCTTATCAAATGATGTTTTACTTCGTTATTGCATTCAGACAGTCGTACCAAACCACTTAAGCCACACGATGAACCAAAGTTTTTTCCATCTTTGCTATTCAAAAAGGAGTCCTGAGACATAATGAACGTCTCGCTAATGAATGACTTCTTCCTGTACTTGTAATTGTTTCCAACGCGATACAAGTTCGGGAGATCTAAAGGAACTCACTATAACTTTGTATATTCGATACGATTTCAATTTCCGCGTCAAAGGAGAAGCCTACTGTAATTCGTGAGTGGTCAGTGGTTACGCTCGTGAAGTAAAGAATGGGTTTGTGACTTTCTCACTCAATTGAAAGACTCGCGTCACTCTTATGAAATGGTTGAACGGAATACAGACTTCGAGCAGTCTCTTATTTTTCTTAAAGATAGTGAGGTCACGCGTATCCTGTGAGCATGGAGAAGCCGCGAGACGCGAGACTCGTATCTCGCGTCTTTGCCGCTCCACGCTCTCAGAGTTGGGCAAAGACAAGACACGTTATTTCCGGTGCGATACAAGAGGTTCAATGGTTATCTCGATTATCTAAACACATTTATTTACGTGGTAAAGATTTGTTTTTAAATTTATGAACTGATGCTAGTCCTATTTGGAACGAAATGTATTTGAAATAAAAAAGAATACTAAGTAAAATAAAAGTTGTCTGCAACACGAAGCATGCCTTCGCATTAAGACTGAGAATCCTAATGTTTATCATGATAACTTTAATGCATATGTTCGAATGTTCCCAAAAATCTTCTGATAATCTGCCCGCACCCACCCCTCACCCCGCCCCTCGCCACTGAACCGTACTGTTTTTCCACTCAGCAGCTGGTCAGCGGTCACGTTTATGAAGTAAACAAATCGATTGATTCTTGATCACCGTTCTTGTCGATCGGAAAATCAAATACCAGCGTGATATTGCCGCGAAGATGAAGCAGTTATGTTATTTGATTCGTACTTCACATTCGAGTCGAAGCTTGGATGGCACAGGTTATTTCTTGCGGTGGAATCGACGAGGGGAATTCAGAAAGTTGTAGTGTTTGAATTGTTGGAATAAATGGTCGCATGGGGATGTAAGTTTAACGAACAATTTCAAATTTTGCCACTTGAATTTAAATTAAGTTCATTTGAATTGCTTTCGTATGTATTTCTGACGGTTTTAGATCTACCTGCTTGATTTATATCGGCTACGCTTCATGTTGACAAGTCCCTCAAAATGGCGGCCAAACTTAGAGATTGCCGAAAATTAGGTAAGTTCACGGAGTTATAAAGTTCTCGTAAAGGTCGGGCCACAAAGTTTTTTTCTGTAGTTACCTTTTCTATGGCACCTACCTCCTAGCTATGTTAGTTGGATCAGTTAACAACGCCTCACTTTTTCAAAAATTTACCTTGAATTTGATCGGTTTTGGCGTGTGTGATTTAGGCGAACCGATAAGGTGTCATTCAAGTCTTCCTGTTTCCTTGATTGACACGTGTTGTTTACGAAAGTCGCCTCGATAGATAAGATAGAGTTAATATACATGGCTGTGGTATTTGTTTTTTGCTGAGTTCCATAGTTTTTTGTAAATAGTCTTCCAAAGTTGTATGAAATTAAAGTCTTGAAAAGTGTCACGACAAGCCTTCGCTGGAGTGAAATTTAATTTCCGTAAAACTCTGAAAAATAAAGAGATTCGATCAAACTGATTGTGGTATAGGTACATGAATGTCTTACAACACACGAGAAACGAGCGAAATCCGTGTCTCAAGCAAAATCGACCGGACCGCTCTTACAGAGACACTCTTTTAAAACGTGAGCAGATACGAAAATCCTCAAAGGAAAAACAAAATAAACATTCTGAGTTTTAAAGATTTTTACGCTCAGTTAGATTAATTGCAAGCTTACGTACGGTAATAAAAATCAAACACAGCTAACACTCGTATAGTATATAAAGTTCAGTGTTCAAAAACAAAACAGAACAAAACAGAAATGATGAAAAATATAACCAAACTGGCATAATTGTTAAAATTCATACTAATCATGACGGTGTCTGAGCGAATATGATCATGCTGAAGTCCATCGCGGCTCGCTCATCATGGCGATCTCCGGTCATCACAATAAAGCAAGTCCCAGAAAATACATCAGCCGCCCTTCGAGTGAAAAAATAAGAGCTTGCTCTGATATCCTTTCCGATACGTTGAGTGGAAATTCACATCAGTCAGTGCAGCCGAATTTTGCGGCGCTGTCATCATTAGCGACCTTTATGTTCCGGTGAATTCGGCTGTCGTTTATTCAAAAAACACTCGCCCTGAACAGTTTGTTTTCTACCTTGTCATGTGAAAAATCGCGTGTTTTTATGAGCCATAATTCGGCTGAAGTTCACTGAACATTTCACTTAAAGATTCTCTATTAGAGACTTAAAAACTTCAGGCAAAAGTGTTAAATTCGACTTGCCGAACTACTTTAGTTTGTAAATTATCGTAGAATGTGAACTTTGATGGTTTTTGAACTTTGATGGTTTGACACTTTGACAGCTTTAGTCTTGTACAGCCAATCAGATTATGTGAACCATTCTAACAAGGATTCTGATTGGCTTATTGTAGCGTGCTTTATGAGAGTATAGAACATGCTGACGACATTGCTGTTCGCTGTGGAAATAAAGTTTGTTTTGAAAATTGAAAGTAATTCTCGGGTAATGTAACGGATTCTTTATTATAAAACAAATAGAGAAGCCTTGACTGTGCTCTGTTTGAGAAGTAGGAAGACACACTCGACTACGTCTCGTGTTTCTCCCTACACTTCTTTCGTGCTCTAGCCGCTTCCTGCGTGCTTTATAACAGAATAGAGCACAGTCAAGGCTTCTCTATTTGTTAAATATTCTTACTCTTATTTTTTATTTATCATTATAATAAAGTTCGGATATAACGCGCGCCGTTATTGGTTGAAAGAGCGTGCTCTATGAGAGTATAGAGCATAGAACTGAGCTAAAGCTGTCACGCCATCTGCCAAATTGTACTAATTTACGTTATTAAAACGTGAGCAGATACGAAAATCCTCAAAGGAAAAACAAAATAGACATTCGAGGTTTTAAAGATTGATTCACGCTCAGTTAGATTGCAAGCTTACGTACGGAAATAAAAATCAAACACAGCTAACACTCATATAGTATATAAAGTTCAGTGTTCAAAAACAAAACAGAACAAAACAGAAATGATGAAAAATATAACCAAACTGACATAACTGTTAAAATTCATTCTAATCATGACGGTGTCTGAGCGAATATGATCATGCTGAAGTCCATCGCGGCTCGCTCATCATGGCGATCTCCGGTCATCACAGCAAGCCTCAGAAACTACACCGGCCGCCCTTCGAGTGAAAAAATAAGAGCTTGCTCTGATATCCTTTCCGATGCGTTGAGTTGAAAGTCACATCTGTCACTGCAGCCGAGTTTTGCGGCGCTGTCATCCTGAGCGATCTTCATGTTCCGGTGAATTCGGCTGTCGTTTATTCAAAAAACGCTCGCCCTGAACAGTTTGTTTTCTACCTTGTCATATGAAAAAAAACTCGCGTGTTTTTATGAGCCATAATTCGGCTGAAGTTCACTGAACATTTCACTTCAAGATTCTGTATTAGAGACTTAAAAACTTCAGGCAAAAGTGTTAAATTAGACCTGCCGAACTATTTAGTTTGTAAACTATCGCTTAAGGTGAACTTTGATGGTTTTTGAACTTTGATGGTTTGACACTTTTGACAGCTTTAGTCTTGTACAGCCAATCAGATTATTTGAACCATTCTAACAGGGATTCTGATTGGCTTATTGTAGCGTGCTTTATGAGAGTATGGAGCATGCTGACGACACTGTTGTTCGCTTTGGAAATAAAGTTTGTTTTGAAAATTGAAAGTAATGCTTGGGGAATTTAATGGATTCTTTATTATAAAACAAATAGAGAAGCCTTGGCTGTGCTCTGTTCTGTTAGAAAGCACTTGACTGTGCACTCAAGAAGTGGGGAGAAACACTCGACTACGTCTCGTGTTTCTCCCTACACTTCTTTCGTGCTCTAGCCGCTTCCTGCGTGCTTTATAACAGAACAGAGCACAGTCAAGGCTTCTCTATTTGTTAATTATTTTATATTCCAAGTTGCTGTGCGTCTGTTCAATAATAGGTCACAAAGGACGTCAAAATGTGGTAAGAACAAAAAAATGGCACTCAAGGCGCAGCCGAGTGTGTCACTGATGTTACTTAACAGACGCACGGCAACTTGGAATCTATTTGTTTTATATAATAAAGAATTAAAATATACGGAAAAAAGTAGATCAGAAGTGAGAACCAATTAGAATGCGTGCATAACTGAGCTTATCATATAAAATCCAATAGACCTGAAGGCGGAAGGAATCTTTAACAGCCTTTTATTTGGCCAAATTGACTCTAACTTCAAAAACTGCGGCAGACTGAAATAATTATTTCAGTTCACGATAGTGACTAGGTGCCTCGCACTAGACACAACATAAACGTACCTGAACTTGAACTTCAAGTGACGGTGTAAGGCCTTGATAGACAGAAGACGCGTACACTATATATCTTGTCAACTTTTC